TCATCGAGACCTTTCATTTGAGTACCCACATGACATTTTTTATATATTTTATATATATGGTATTTGTGAAATATATAAATATGTAATATATATGAAAAATCGATGTGGGTACTCAAATGAAAGGTCTTGACGAGTGTAATGTCGAGATGAGCTTATATTTTTAAAAATGTCAATATTTCATAAGATAAAAGCTCATTTCTTAATTACGTACAAATTCAAGTCAAAAACTTTGCAATGACACTGAATTTCACTTAAAAAACCGATTTTATCATATGACTATTCTTGAGATAAAATTTTTCTTATTCTCGTAATAATATAGATTATTGTTTATTTGCAATAATAAAAAAAAAATATTAATAAAATAGATGAAAAATAAAAATACCTGAAGTTCAGGAAACAGCTCCCCAAGAACTTCAAATAGTGGAAGGAGAACAAGTCCAATAAAGCTGCATTGTGATGATGGTTTAGTGACTTTTTCGCGATCCATAAATGGTGTTACTGGAAGTCCCTCGAGTTTCTCGGCGTCTGATTGTTTGAAGAACTCTTGGAGTAATCGATCGAGCCAGGGCTCCGCGACCTTCATCGGCCTTGCTTCGTTGCTAATGTCTGCGACTTTTATTAATATCATTGATAGCTGAAAGTACCATTACACTTTAGCATCGGGAAAGAACCAATAAAACGCATTCCCCATTCCCTATTCTATAAAAGCCCCCAATTAAACGGAATAAAAAAAAACCAAGAAAAAAAAAACGATATCATTATTTTATTACCAAGTTAATGTGCGCCCTGTTTTGATAATCAAATTCCTGAACAACGTCCGTGAATTGCCCGAGTATCTCGTTGTGTCTGGCCATATCTGTCGCGAGGATGCACCTTATGATACCCTCGCGTACTGCGCGAAACGTCGTGGCGTCGAGGGACGCGAGTATATTGCACTCTGGCGCCTCGAGGATACGAAACGCCACTGAGCAGTGGTGATTCTCCAGCGGCGAGATATCGTTGTACCTCAACGCCAGCTCCGTCCGCGCGTTTATCTGGTAGATGTTATTGTACCCTGGATGGTCGAGGTCGTGGCAAATGCAGGAGACGATCAGGATCAGGACCTCCAGGTGCCCGATTTTAGAGGGCAGGTCCACTGCCCACGCTATCGTGTACATCTAAAAGCCGATTAAGTTTTAGTAATTATTATTTTTTAGTTTCCAGAGAAGTTTATTATTTGTCGACGAGCTGAACAATGAATTCATTTCTGTTATTAATGATGTTAATGCTAATGACTCTAGATTAAGATAAATAGTTCGTACTATATTTATACTACTGTACATTACATGAGTAAGTATTGATTTTACCATTTGCGCGACACAAAAGCAGTGTCTGAAGTTGTGAAACGGCACCTCATTGTAATTATTGTAAACCTCGTACAGAAAATTCTTCAACGTCGAAAGGGGAATGTTGAATTTCTGCGGTAACTCCAGCTCCACGAACATCGTTTGTAACATTAGCAAAAGCTCATCGTCTTCCCATTGTTGAGTGTCATATTTTGGAGAGCGGAGCATTTCCCGGGCGATTGATGGTACTGATGAATCACTGGAAATGTATATTAAATATTAGTGGTAAATTTTATATTTTATTTTATTTAATGCCAAGCGGTAATATATATAAAAATATAAAATGTATAATGACTTTTATTAAATTGCACTGTACTTTCTTAAATATTGACTTTTTTAAAGATATAAGCTCATTCCGAT